GAGTTCAAAATTTATTATCCATTACCGTACTGCACATTTTGCTTTCACCACCAATATGTACTTTTTGATACAGTGTAACTCGAAAACCGTATGGAATACAAAAAAACCGAGACCACTTCCAGTGTTGGGCTTTACATGCTCTACAAAATGCAAAAAAGAATGGGTCTCTAGCATTAACGGTTCCCGAATTAGAGACAGTTTTCAGTTTCGGTATCTTATGGCCGCTACTCCCGTGAAAATGCACCGATTGACCCCAAATTCACGGAGATGAAAGATGACCTGAAGGGTAACACTTTCCAATAATATTATTGGTTAAGTCTGTGTGGTGTCTGAATAACAGGGCAAATAATTATTTTTTCGTAAAAAAATTCATTTTTTTGAAAATTTTGGCCCGTTTGACCTTGAAATAAAGGTCAAAGGTCAAATCCAAGGGCATATTTGAAATCTACACATATGACTTTTGGAAAGCCGTCTGTAGAAATTTTTCCCATAATTCCTTCCGTAGGGTAGATAATTAGCATTTAATTTTGCCATTTTTAGACAAGGGTGCATTGTAATGAGTGCCACACCTAGACCCCAAAACTGACAAAGCCCAAATTTTACGTGGAACGAGTTGAGATTATAGGTGACCTAAATCAAAGAGATGGGTACAGGGGCCCTTACCGTCTAGGAGGAGAAGCGGTAACGGTAGCCGTCCGGCGGAGCCGGCGGAGCCGGCGGAACGATCCGGACGGGACTAAAACCATGTGTACCGCCAGCGCTAACGCTGGTGGTACAATGAATTATGTGAAAGGTACGAAGAAAAAAATTATATCAGGCAAAGTCGGAGAAAAAAGCCAGTCGAAGGTGCAACTGAGAACATCAGGCACATCCAAGACGTGGCACAATAATAAGAGGAAACAAAAACGACGGATACTCTGAAAAGCATGCTTTAATATAAATTCAGGAATAACTAGAATACAATTATACAATAATTAACAAATTATTCAATAATAAACACTTGTACTACATTACCGTGCCCCAGAGTGAGCGCCTGAATACAAAACCACGTGGAATCCATGTAATAATTATGTACACATATTTTAAAATCTAACATTAAAATATACAGCAACTAAATACAACGACTGGCAATTCATATATACACCTACCAATAATCCAACCATTTTAGTGCATTATTAAAAAGCTATCGTGTTCCGCTCTTCTAAAATTGTTAGAGAATTCACCAGTGCAACGTCCTCCTCGTACACGGAAGTCTTTTTGTGGCTTAGTTTAGGATCAATTCTACACATTTCATGAAATAGATCTTTATGCGAAAAACCACCATTCATTAAAAAAGGGAGGCTGTGGCAAACTAATTAAACTGAATAGACACACACAAAAATTTTTCTGTAAATAAAAGGCCATTAACGTTCACCAACTGCCGTCCCATTAAAAATACCATACATTGTTTACTATCGGCCTGTACCCATTACAAAAATCCAAATAATAAATATACATAACTGCTTTCATCATAATGCCTTGACACAAAAATGGCAAAAAGTTAGTTGATTGAAGATTTTACTTCTTACTTTACGTCATCATCATCAACAATAACAATAATAAGAATAATATTATTGATTTACTTAACAATTCACATGCCACTATTAACACTGAATAAATGTATCGTTTGCCACATTCTGTATAATGTTGATAACTAAATAACACAAGTGACTATCAACATCAGTAATGTATAATTATATTATAACTGCTCCACCACGAGCTAATGTTGGAGAAAAGGAGAAACGAAAATCTCGTTCTTGAAACCACGCCCACAGATTCAACGTCAGCGAGGCCAAGAAATTCCCTTTCTGAAACCATCGTTTCGCATCTAATATAATCAGAACAGCAAACTAACAGATCTGCGTATCAAATATGCCCCCCCCCCCTTTGAATGTTTGTTGCGTCATCCCCATAATCTATTCAGTATCTGATCGTGTATTAAGCGGCAAGCTCTTTAGTGGGTCGCCAAATTTGATCCGCGGACCTGTTAGTCTGCTGTTCGGAAAGCGCTCTAAATATCATAACTTCCTCTCGGTTTCGCATCTCCAGATGGCTCGACCGCGTGTAAAGCTTAGGCATGGTGCTATTAGTACTGCTGATTACATATATATCCCTATGTGACAAAAATATATATGTTGATACACGTTTTCATTTTTTTACAGTACCCGTAGTTTTTATCCAAACTTGCTGTGAAAAATGTGGCAAAAATGACTCCTGTCAAAAGTTCAAAGCTGGATTTAACATTTACAAATATTGTCAGCAATAATGGTATATTTTTGTATAAAAAAGCAGCTAGTTACATATGCAACATTTGCTTTCCTCAACCCTTATTTCCATCAAAGAGAGAAAAAATTGGTTACATTTTATTATTCATGATAACTCCTGTAGTTTCTTCTTGCAGCGTTAGTAATTGTGGAACAATGAACTTTGGCCGTGTGCTTCGTAAATAAATAAATAAATAAATAAATAAATAAAAAATAAATAAATTCCTGCTTCACTAGAATCTTTCTTATCCTAACTGATCATCCTTTGATGAAGTTTTAACACAAAGATACCCAGACTCATCTTTTACTCCTCTCCAAAGACAACTCTTATTTTACTTGGCATAAGCCAAATTGAATGGTTATACAAATTCACTACAAATTTGCTTTGTCATCAAATGCATTTGTAGCAGGAAAAAATAATTAATAGCCTCCCCCCTCAAAAAAAAAAGCATTTATCTACCTCACTATATACTCAAACAAACACATATTCACTATATTATCTGTCACAAACAAACAAACAAAAATAAACAATATTGCTTATTCTTATTCAAATTTACTTACAATTTATTGTTTAAACAATGCCACTTAAACAATATTGTAACAATATAATACATATCTTAATAGTCTACTTATTCTTATTCAAATTTACTTACAATTTATTGTTTAAATAATGTCACTTAAACAATATTGTAACAATATAACACATATCTTAACAGTCTCCCTCTAAAAATACTAATTTTGTGATGGGTCTATTATAGCGAGACGATTTAGTACGAACCGTCGCGCTACGCACTAAGCTATCTCTCCCAATCTNAAAAAAAAAAAAAAAAAATTAATACTAGCACAGGCCAATATGAATGAAATTTGGAAGACTAAACAATAAAATACCACAGATCAATCACTATGAAAAAAATAAACATGATACTTCTGCCGCTTAGACTTGGCCAGAAATTCCAGGTATTAAACATTCACAACAACTGTTTGTATATAACTTTTTTTCACTAAAATTATGAAACTTATAATAAAAATAAGTTTTAGTGAGCTTGTAGAAAATAAATGTAAAGAATAATTATAGTAATTAAAAGTTGACCCTAAAGTAAATTAGGAATATTTTGATATAATTCTGGTAAAAATAGAGAACCACATTCTATCATAATGATCCTGTTAGTGTTACAATATAACAATTCCCAATTTAACTGAATTTCTTTTCTGAATAATTATAATAATATAAGAAATAGTGTCATCTTAACACCAGTACCCAAGTTAAAAACTTAAACAAAAAACGCTTGAGAAATCATACCTTTGAACTCTTTAATAAACTGACTCAAACAGAATCAAATTGTAACTTTGTTCCAATGGAAAAAAGAACAGTACCAATAAAATGATATATCCTATACCCAACATTCAGAGCTCTGCAATTACTACGCATTCTTTGGCTGTGGCTCTTGCTTGGATACCGTTATTTTTCCGCCTCCTAGAATTGGAGTTGACGCTGGCCGACTGGTCTGTAACATAGAGGGCGTAGGAATGAAAGCGCCTGGGTGAGGAATGGGATAAAGTAACTGGTGGTTCAGTTCCTGAAATATGATGAATGCTTCTCAATAGTAAACATTTTCTTAAAACACTTAATAAATAAATAAATAAATAAATAAATAAATAAATAAATAAACAAATAAATACAAAAGGGTGCTTGTAACACTGGTATCACAAATGGCAACAAAGAAAAAATAATAATTTATTATAAATAAATAATAAAGTAGATAAAATCAGTTCAGTTCTGTCAATCACAACTAACACAACTGAAGCAAGTGACCATTTTGCCTCAGATGTCAAGATGAGAACATTGTCTTGCAATGGAGATCACCCACGAAAACCCACGATTCAGTCTTCATACTTAATTCCAAATCAACGTTTCCCAGGGTTTAAAGGAGAGTGAAATTAAAAAAAAAAAAAAAAAACGGCTACTGCACAACAGTACAAACTCACCATGATTTGTATCAATCTTGCATTTCTTTCTATTTCAACATTCCCAGTAAAAAAGGTTCACCCATTAGGTTCATATGGATTCAGCACATTTTTTCCTCCCATATGGTATGATGCCACACAGTGCTGAATCCCTGCCCTTTAGGCCACCTCAGTTGATCCCCACTGAATGGAAAAGCCAACCCAAGAAAAACAAAGCACAATCCATCAAGGAACAATAAACGCAATCAGACTCACCAGTGAGTGTGCCTGCAGCGACCTCTGCTGCTGTAACAAGTCCAGATAGTACTGCTGGGATGTCATGCCAGCTAGCTGAGTGGTACTCAGAGTTCCAGTGGATCTTGCAGTATCCAGGAAACCTCCTGGTATCACACTTCCACCCCCTGTTGTTATGGCAGCACCTGGGTTTGCACTCTTTGCCGTAGATATCGGCATGGAAACTGTTGCCATAGATGCAGTTGGCATGGACACGGTTGCTGTCGGTCTGTACAAAATGGGGCAAAATAACATGTCCTGCTTTAACATTTAAAATTTTTGTTGGCTTGCTTTAAGTTTTTATTATTATTTTATATAGTGTTCAAAGAGGTTCTATCATGATTACTCTAAATTAACAGTTTTCTAAAAAAAAAGTGATAATAATTATAATTTATACAATATATAAATAATACTTATAAATAAAATAAATCTAAAAAAAAAAAGCAAATAAAATACTGAGAGAGAACGAGGGAGATGTAATGTATACCACTGGTCCTAGTACTATTCAACCCGGAACAGTATTCCATCTTAAAATTATTTTCCCTCAGGACTAGCTTACTGACCTATATTCTACCGTCCCAGACGGTGCCGTTACTGGTGCTGCTATGGAGGTGGCTGCTGGTACAGACGATGATAAAGATGATGCTGCTGCTGCATACGGACTCCCCCTCTCTGGAGCAGGGGTGGTTCTGGGGCTCTTGCTATTACCTGAACCTACATAGAGAAATCACCATCTCATGACGTGAACCAAAATGAAGTCATTTACCATCATAATTTTCCCTTTTTTTTCAATTTTGCCAATAACTATAAATCACACACTGTCAGATAAAAATGAACAGACCTTTTTTTTCATCAAGTCATCATTTAGAGAAAAAGACAGAAAATATGGCATGGGGTTCAGGGGCAAAATAGTCCAATGGTATTTTTGGCTCCCAAAAAGTTGGAAATTGGCTGAAAGTTGAAAACATCTCCTCACTGATTTATTCATTTTTTGTTACATGGCTTACAAGTAATCAAATTTCAAGACAGAAAAAGAGTTGGGCTAAGATAAGGTTCAGACCTTTCCCCACAAACCCGTCCAGCTGTCACTTGGACAATCTTTTCTTGGGGTTTAAACCCAAGGGCAGATGAAAGCAGTCGTCTGGGTGTTCCGGTAGACAGTCAAAATTTTTTCAAATTTAAGTTGACAAGCATCTAATTTTTTTCTTGTTGGAAGACTGTCAAAAATGGTAGACGAATCAACAAAAATAATTTGAAAGACTGTCAGAAAATATTTCTGAATCTGTCTCTGTTTAAACTATCCACCCACCTGCTGGACTATAAGACTGACCAGTGTGACCGCCATGGACTGAATTGAGGGGCGTGGTGTTGTTGGACCTCCCTGGACTCCTGGACAAAGACTGACCATGGTTGGAGTGACCTGTATCAGAGTTCTGAAGAAAAGAATCATAGAATGTTCTTACTGTTACCCTAGAAAACATCTAACAACATACACTTATCATTCAGTTTTTGTTTAATTTGTTTTGATAATTTTGGTACTGGGATAAGATTTTCAATTTAAGCTATAAAATATCACTGATGTTGACTTAATATAATAATAAGATAAAAATAAGAGAAAGACAAATTTAACATCTTCCCACTCCAATCTTCATTTAATGTGGTGAATATTTATTAACTGACTAACCCCAAAACTATTCTAACAAGTCTAAAATGATGGTTAGTTATAATGTAGTATTTTTCACAGTGCTATGTACAAACCCTTACCTGCAGTGTCAAGGAACCAGTCTCTCCAGCGGTTGGTATCACATTATTCACCCGTGGACTCCGAGACGCTTGTGGGCTGACGCTCTCACCAACCCCATGTCCAGCTTGCTGACCTGGTTGACCAGTGGCACTGTTAGCATTGGGCGTGTTTGGGAGTGACAGAGAGAGGGACAGACGAGCGTTGATCGCCAGAAGATGATCGCGTCGACTGGCCAGGCTACGGATGTGGTTTTCCAGGCGCATGTTTTCCTGGCGGAGCTGGTTCAGGCAGCTTAAGAGCGAGGCAACTGGAAGGTTAAGAACAGGGGGATGTGTTAGTTGTGTCTCAACCAGGGAGTGGGGAAACTTTTGGAGGAACCCATCTAACACATTGATTACTGTATGACACACAACGACATCATGTACATTTACCATAAATTGGACTAACAACTAAAGCATGTGTCCGTTTAAATGTGAAAATTTCATTGTTAAAAATTAAAACTAATAATAATAATAACAATTATAAGCTAAATCATTTTTGAAACTAAAATGCAGACAAAACTTATCTTACAATATCTATGGAGAAATTATGCTACACTTGCATAAAGCATGTTCCCAACACTGCTATACAAAAGGATTACAGCAAAATAAAAAGGAACTTACATAAAGTTTAACGAGTATACTTCACTGTTATATCAAACTAATTTTACACCTCTTAAAATGAAAATTATTCTCATCAAATGTCTGAAAGCAGGCATTTGCATGTGACATAGTACTTACTATCAAAATGCTGTCCTTGGTCAATGAGAAATGTGGAGCCCTGCTCCCACTGCCGCTCTAGCAGCTCCTCCATAGTTTTAGGAAAACTGGAACTATAGATTCCGAACATTAAACATCATTTGTGATGTTGCTGTAATAATTTTTCACAGTGGGATGCAAACAGGTAAAACTATTTTCAAAAACACCAACAATATCTAAACATTTCATACAAAATCCTGCAATCTTATCAGGAATTAATACAGACAATTGTGGTTAAAAACTCAAAAGGAGACAACTTCTCATAAATTGCCTTTGCCTAATAACTTTTGTTCTGTCCATAGAGTGCTTACTTTGGACTGTGCTCAGATCCTCTTGGAGAGCTGCTGGAACTCTTCGGTTTAGGAGGCGAGATATAAGGACCACCATTTAAAACAATCTCAGAGGTAGGATGGCTGATAAAACCTCCCACAGTCCCTGCAATAAAAAGACAAGTGCAATAGAGAATATCAAGTTTGTATTACTATTTAAATCCTTCTCACAGCCTTTTTAAATCCAATTTGTTGCTTGATGATGAATTCTAAGAAAGAAATTCAATAGTCAACAGTGATATCTTTATTTTTTCTCTTGTTATATCCTGTGTACCTACAGTCACTAAATTAGTTCTTGTCATGACAGTTGACCTGTAGGTCACATAAAAACTGCCTTAGATAGGAATAAAATAATATCTGTAAAAAAATAATAAATATGCACATACACCACCAAAGTTATACTGTTAATGATCTTTGGTCACCATTAATTACAAACTTTCCAAACTCCTGAAAAATTACTTTATAGCAATGGACTTGCAATAGAGTTTCAGTATTCATGTGATAGACTCAAAGGTTTCTGAGTAAAAACGGTAAGGGTACTGGTAACTGACCTGAGGACTGTAAAGAGTCTGGACTCAAAAGACCACCAGAAGACCCAGTCTGCTTGCTGTAAGGATACAAAATCAAGTTAACACATTTTCTAAACTTTAAGATAATTGACTGAATGTCCAAAAATCTGTTATGCAAGTGCATAAATTTTTATACCACTAGCTGCCATGACAGAAATATTGTTTAACAACTGTCCAATGATTCCAACAGGCTTAAGACAAAAGGTACAATTTAATAAATCAATAAATAATATAAATAAGCATTAAGCAACCGAAAAAAGTACATATAATACTTTATAAACTTTTATACATCAGTAATCAGACCTACATTAGAATATGCATGTCAGGTGTGGCACCCAGGTCTTACACAACAACAAATTGATAAAATTGACTTCCAGATTAGAGCATGTAAGATTATATTCCCAGAGCTGTCCTACGATGGGGCACTTGAAACATGTAAACTTATCACTCTTGCTTGTAGAAGAGATGAACTATCGAAAACATTATTGCATAACATGTACTAGTACTCTGAAGGACACAAAATCCATCATTTGCTACCAGAGATAAATGAAAGTTCCTACACTTTGCGCCAGGTTTATAAGTACACTGTGCCAAAATTGAGGACTGTATGATCATCAAAAACTTTTATCCCATGGGCTTTATCAAATTTTAAGAACTGAGTTTTTTATGAATTTTTAATGTGTATCGAATCATTTTAACACTTACAAGTATATTTTAAGATTGTGCATCTCACACGACTATTTGCTTTTATTGTAAAATCCAACTTTTTAAAGTTGCAAATAAATACATATTATTATTATAAAGTCAACCTTTTCAACACCTCAATTCTAATAATGCCAACCTTGCATTCCAAGCACATTACACAACAAATCCTCGTTTCAAAAGAGCAGCAAAGGCAAAATCTTTTATGCCAAATCAACATATGCTGCCACCTATTGGTTTCAAATGGATTATGGATTAACATTTCATTTTCTATCACCTGTTATTTTTCCCCTTCCGTCCTTGTTTCTTCCCTGCAGCCAGCATCTCCTTGACAGTCTTAGTTTTAGGCTGCTGCTGTAGGGGTAACTGGGAATCTGGATGCTGCTTTGATTTCTTGTTCTTTTTCTTTTCCTTCTCTTCTCCTTCCCCCCTGATTAAAGAAAAAAGTTGAAATGAATGAATGAATGACTATATCAATAAATAAGTGATAAATGTGCCCAATTCAAGAAATATACCTTTCAGAATTACAGACGTTATCCAAGATATCATGAACAAATATTGTAATATTCAAAACAAGGTTTAATGAAGAAAAGCATTTTCATATTTTAGCAAACCTTTTAATCTGAAAGAGTCACAATATTTCTGGAGGCTACTTCAGTGCATCTGCCTAACCCTTTGTTCTGGATGGATGGGGGGGGGGGGGGGGGGGGAGCCTTCAGTAAAACAGTTTAGAATTCAGAGTTTTAATTTAATTATAAGAACTTTATATTACTACTCAGCCAGATGATTTTCCACCAGACAAGAAGTTACCTGCTTCTCTTTCCAGATAATACAATGTGTGGGGAAACAGTAGCGGTGGGTGACACTACTGTTGCCGTGACAACAGTTGGAGGTCCTGTATCCACGGTTACATTCAGTGGGGCCACAGTGTTTGCTGATGCTGCTGTTGGCGTAACTACAGTCAACGATGCTGTTGTCGTCACTGATGCAGAAGTCACAGAATTGTTTGCCGTCTTCACTTTACTTTGCACAAAACATTCAAACTGCTTATTAAATTCTGACTGAAAACTGGGAGACCCCACAGTGGAATTCTGGGTCACTGATGAAGCAGACGACACCTTGCTCTGCTCAGAGTTGCCATGGTTACTAGCCTCAGAATCAGAAAAATTTGAATTGGATGTGTTTTTTATGTTTTCCACTTTCATTCTATCAACTGTAACATTGTCTGCTGATGACGGTATTGCTGTTGTTGTAGGAACTACAGAGGTTTCGGTAAAATTGGCAGTCGTAAATTTGGTTGCTGCTAAAGATGTAATTGTGGAAGAAGATGAAGTGTGGGTCTGTTTGGACTTGCTGTCCTTGTTCTGAAAAAGAAATGCATCGTTTAATGCAGCTTCTAGAACAAGGATTCTTTGTCACTCCACTTTGAAATGCAAATTATTTAACTAGATTCTTCTTTCGTTTATACAATGGCCACAAATTAAAAAAAAAATCATGTATCTTTCAGCTTCATACAAGCTATACTGTCTAGCAAAAATGTTCACACTGGTAAAAGGATAGCATTTTTATCAAAATGCATCTTTGCTCTAAAATATAAAATAATGTTTGTATGGTACCCTATACAACCATGCAAACAAGTACTAGGCAGAAAAAAATGCCAACCACACAGAAGTAAAGTACCACACATTACTCAGACAAACAAAAAAAGACATGCAGATATTTAATATTATATAGCTCGTCTACTAACCCTTTGTTTCCCAGCATCCGTCTTCTCTGGTGTGACATCTGGCGTCACACTAGCTCCTCTGATTGGACGATATGGTGGGATCACTTTCACATGACTGTCCTTGTTCTGCAATGCATAAAACAGTCCATTTACAAGCAAAATTGTAATGCAAAAACAGACACGCGAATTTTAAAGGAGTTGTCCATTATACAGAATTACCTATATTTATACATCATAAAGTTTTAATAAGTGTGGAATAACAATACCCTTTGTACAAATGCAGGTATAAATTTACCACAATGCCCCCTTACCAGTTTCTTGTAGTGATAAGCACAATATCCACAATATTTGACATTATCGTTGTAGTTGCCTGCTTCTTCACACAGCAAGCCTTGAGACTGGGCACTGAGAATGAGAACAACACAGCATTAACCAAGGCAAAAATAAAATAAACTAGAGGATCAGAGAGGCGATACCGCCTCCGAATATTGTACCACCAGCTGGAGCAAGCGCATTCATATAGACCCCCACATATACAAAATAAGGAACATAGCCACCAGTCTTGTGCTTGACAAGCTGTAAAAATGCAATCAACAAGAATTTTCAAAATATGCAAAAAATATATATATATTACTAAAAATGGTACAATCAAAGTTAAGTTCATCGCAAGGTAGGTCAAAGGTCAATTCCAAGGTCACAGTAAATTGCCAGTATATGACTTCCTATTCAACTTCAATAGTAACTATGGGCCTATCTCTGCCAGGTTTGGAGTTAAAAGAGAAAGATATTAGCAGAGTTCAGTTCATGATAATAAGTAGGTCAAAGGTCAATTTCAAGGTCACACTTAGATTGCCAGTATATGACTTCCTATTCACGTTCAATAGTAACTATGAACCTATCTCTGCCAGTTTTGGAGATAAAGGGGAAGCAAACTATGCAAAGTTCAGTTCATGGTGAAAAGTAGGTCAAAGGTCAATTTTAAGGTCACATTTAGATTGCCAGTATATGACTTCCTATTCAA